ACAGGGAACTGCTGCTTTTTCTTTCCAAATCCTATTGTCATTTTTCCTCTACTTTTTTAGTATGTTTGTCACACTCTTGTGACCCACTATTTCCGGGGTGCCTTGATAGTCGAAGCAGACTTTATGCTGTTGAAGCTAGAGAGGTGAGCAGAGTAAGTCTGATTCCCTGTAAGGACTTCTCTGTCGACATCCTCCCCTTGGCGCTCATATGACCTTATGCAGTTGCGGGCGCCGTAAAACCCTCTACTTAAACTAAACTAAACTGATATCATGGTCATCTACTGGGGAAATGACCCTTGTTTGAATTCTCATCGGAGTATTTTAAAATTTCACATGGTCATAACACCTTTTGCCCCAGTCATTAAAAAAAAATTGTTTTGAGAAAACTGGGAAAAAAACTGCTACCGTTGTCAAATTTTTTACTTGATCGAGAGGGAAAAGCCTTAAAGTACTTTTAGCACTGGAAGCGAAACCCTGCTTTTATTGAGGATACAAATGAAAGTGAAAGACATTTTTCCCCTGCCAGTAGCTAGAAATTTGATGACAAGAAATTACTAAGGAGACTGTGTTATGAGCCTGATAATTTTGGATTCTTTGTTGAGTTTTCAGGGCTGCGAACCCTCTTCTCTCCTCCTTGCCTCCTTCTTTTGTTTGTTTGTTACTCTTCTGTAACACCTCTAATCTTTAGCACTTATACGACCTTGTTGTGTTGCGAGTGCTGTAAAACTCTTACTAAACCGTATCTCTTTCAGTGTTTATAGGTCTTTACATGCGTATCATATGTGGGTGGTTGGCGGGTACTCTGGTGTGGTTTGCTTCTTCTTTCCTATCAAACATCTATCGTCTTTTATCTCCCCTCCTTTTTTTGTGTTTGTTACTCTATTTTAACACCTCTAATTTTCGGCACTTATATGACCTTATTGTGTTGCAAGTGCCAAAAAACACTTACTAAAACTAAACTAATCCGTATCATATGTCACCACAGGTTCATGAGTGGCTTCACTATCTGGTCCTGTCTGCAGCTAGGGTGCACGCATAAGTCAGTCTTGTTTGTTCAAAGTATTTATGTCTATTGTTTGTTTTGTCATCACTGGTGTAACGTCTGGGCTTTTGCCCTGGGGTCCAAATCCAGACTTTGCTTCAATTGCTGTGTGGTCCCCACAAGAGCCAGTTGTTTTCAATGTTTTTCACTTTTCACTTTTGTGCGTTTCTATCATCTGAAGATTGGCAAAGACAGAGTCACAAGACGAATTCCTTTCCTTCTTCTGGTTCTGGGCCTGTCTTGGCCCCATAAGAATCAATATAATATGGGGATTGGTCTGACCTTGGTAGTGGACTACATTGCTTTGAAATGGTCAAGAAATCAGTTATGTGTATGTATGTTGTTTGACAAAAAATTTCTTTGATTGGTACGGTGAACATTTTTGTCCATTTAAGTTTTTGGGGGGATTTTGGAATGACAGAGTTTGTTTTTGGCTTTTTCTATCAATGTTATTCATCATATATATATATATATATATATATATATATATTTTGAGTCTGAATATAATATGAACACATTATTTATTTTGACAACTTTACTTTTTGTGTCAAAAATCTTTGAGGTTTTTAAAAATCGTCCTCATCATTCTGTCTGTCAGATGTTATGATTGATAGATTCTGGTGTAACATTATTACATAATGCTCAATATACCTTGTTCATGTACAAAATCCCTTTTGCATGTGTTGTTCGATTAAAAAAATGTATTGAGGAAAATGTCTTTCTTTTTTTATGTTCCCACATTCAAACTCAAAGCAATTTTTGGGCAAATGGAGTTATTGATATCATCTTAAAGCTTGTTGATTTGTCTTGCTTTCGATGAAAAAAGTATTTATCTCAATAGAATTCAAGATATTTTGGATTGAAGCAGGTGGGGTCACTTGGTTTGAGATGTAAAATCAGAGAGAAAATGGCTGCCAGAGTTTGGCGACTTCATAAGCTTGAGAGTCCTTGGAAACTAAATTTGAATTTTTTGGTTTTCCAGTAAAATCCACACAGCAATGCGTTTCCAAATGAACATTAAAGGTGTTGAGCCAAAAAATATAATTTAAATAAAAATTGCCAAAGGGGAAGAAAAATGACGTTCTGTTCGATTTCATTATTTTGAAGAGTGCCTGATTTCACCACAATGCCTCATATATATACATGTCAAAGAACTAGTTTTTCAACAACACATTTTATAGTTAGACGTGTCTAAGACTGTCACTGATTGTTGGGGAGAAAAGTGGCTGTCCTAGACATGCGGCTGTCTTAGGCATTGACTGATCAAAATGAAGAAAACAAACTACAGTGGAACCTGTGTAAGACGGCCATGCATTGTCGAGGAGAAAATTAGCCTGACAGGTGGCTGTCTTAGGCAGGACAGATCAACATGAAGAAAATAAACTATGTCCTTCTGAGGTCCCAACCAGTAGGCTTTAGACTGCTGTAAGGCTCATTAAAATGAGTTTTTCCTTTCTTTTGGAGGGAGGTTGGAAAGGAAAGTTTCATGGCTGCTGTGAATGTAAATTCATTTTTGTGTGTGTGTGTTTTACGGCGCTCGTAACTGCATAAGATCATATGCGCGCTGGACTCCTTAAACATTTTCAGTTGGTTAATTTTGAATTTTGCCTAGGTGTAGGCCGAAGCCTATTCTTATCAATTTTGGACCACCAAGGGATCTTTAATGTGCGCTACGTACGTACACACGGGACCTCCGAGATTTCTCTCCCTTATCTGAGAAGACTAGATGTTAGATCTCACCTACCAAAACATCAGGGATGTGGATGAAAGACAGCAGTAAGAAGGAGCCAAGGAGTAACAGTAGAAAGGCTGCGGAAAGAGTCAGGAGCCAAGAGGAGGGGGGCAAAGGAGGTGAGGGGGTCGGGAGTGGGGACAGAAAGTGGAGACAGAAGCAGATGACAGAATATTGTAAGAGAGCAGGAAAGGAGGTGAAAGGAGAAAATTTTCTGTCGCTGTCCGAATACAAGAGGCAAACACTGTAACCTTTCGACCGCGAGAACCTCCTGTAAATTCTATAAAGTGTATCAGAGGAAGACAGCGTGCAGTGCAAGGATAGAATAAAACAAAATCTGTTGGATGAGGAAGACCAGCCAAGAGCCATGGTAACACATACAAATGGGTCACCACCACCTTGTGAATAAGGGACACTCCTGTTGTAAATTCATGTTGACCTCCTTTGTCATCAACTGGATAAAACAGCCATCGCTTATCTAACTCGTGTTTTGTGTTGGTCCGAGTTGTGGGTGGGCGTTACTAAATTGTGGCGGTTCACACGCTTCTTTCACCAGCAGCGGAAATATGCTACCAACTGGTCAACTTTGGTACACACGATCAGTTCATTCACTGGAAGGACTAACAGTAAGTAAGAACAGGTGAATGGATTATGACAGCTCATTCAGTCTCAAGAGCTGATTTATAATGTATGCAACGCGTCAGTTGATGAGAGATTTGGGTGGCATCTTAAGACAGTTTTTTTTTTTTAGCTGTTGGTTTAGAAAAATATATAATAGTAGCTGCTGCCGCGTTGGGCAGGTTATTGTTTTACACAGGGCTATGATATAGAAAAAATGCAATGAGGAAGTGGAAAGTGGCCATTTGTACAGGTGCCCATCCTGCCAGGTTCGACTGTGTATATATGTATTTATATATATATATGTATGTGTGTGTATGGTCAAACTTGCTCTGTGGGTGGTTGGTGGATGCTCTGGTGTGGTTTGCTCCTTCTTTATCAAACACCTATCATCCTTATCTCCCCTCCTTCTTTATCGTGTTTGTTACTCTCTTGTAACACCTCTAATCTTCACCACTTATATGACCTTATTGTGTTGCAAGTGCCGTAAAACAATTACTAAAACTAAAAACCTGCTGTGATGGCCACCTACTGTCTGTAAAGACACTCACCTGTACAGACGCCCACTTCCCATTTCCCCGAAAGCTGGGTTTTTTTTTACATTATAATGACACTCTGTGTAGATGGCCACCTGTCTATTTCTAATACAGCCACTCTTTTCCTTGACAAAGGGTGACTGTCAGACAGTTTTGACTATATTAATGTTTAGATCTACATTTCACAATGGCTTAGGGCAACTTCGGACACATGAAAATTACTTTCAACCCTTTGAGTCCTGACCTTCTCAGGCTACCATGCCCTTCTGCCTGAGCTTCTTAGCGATACACTGCTAACATTTTCAAGATCTTCAAAATCATTTTCCATCCCAATCAGGGTAGTCCTCATCATTACCAGTCAGCACCTAATTCAGAAAGATCTTCCAAATATTCAATAACGTCCTGTGTAGTAAACACTGTTTTCTGTCCGTGTTTTGTCCCAGGCGGGCCGGGTTAAGGATAGGATCTCGCTCACCGCTACGGTGGCTAGCCATGCAGGCAACCTTCCGCGCCACCTGGGAACCGGAGTCATGGGCTGAAACTCAAAGGGTTAAATTTGGTGACAAAATCAGTGATTTCTTCATGGAGCTAGTTAGGGTACAGCATGCCCGCCTACTGATACTGATTCCGTTCTTCAATTTTGCTTGTAGTATAGATTCCAAAAGTTTTTATTTATAGTCTTGTATTCATCTAAAGGTTTACACAAATTCACAATAAATTCCTTCGCCAGCCTGTTCATTTCAAATGGTTTACCATTTCTGTATCCTTTAGGGAAAAACTATATAGCCTAGAAGCCACTTATGTGCATAATTCTACTTTCACAGACTCCACTTCTGCATATATATAGCCAAGTGCTCATTTGCAGCTGGATGAAATGAGGAAAATAATGTGAGTAGCATTCTTAAAGGTACTGTACATCTTTAACATTGATGAAATCGAGAATCAAATTCACTTTTTTATTGTATGTAAATCAGTTGCCTTGCTGCTCAAATACACTGCTGGTTATAGCAAGAAAACAAGCAAAAAGTTAAAAAACTCAAACCCATCCAAATAAAAACAATGTAGTCACAGGTGAGATAAAGTCCAGTATTTATTACAATAATAAATTATCTTGACATTTTGTACAATAAAGACATGAAACATCATCTCTGGAACTGAGAAAAAGGCATGGACAAGAACCTCTCTGTCAGTCAGGTAACCAATCAAATTGTCACCCTCAAATGAGAAACAAACTCCACGGCCGTATGTAGGTACGAGACGATAATATTGGTCATTAAAAACAAATTGCCGTAACTCCAGAAAAGCTGAAATAAACTTAAAAGACACTAGAAAAATAGACCAGTTCTGCATCTTGGTTTTTGTTATCTGATGCAATATGAGAAAGTTTTAGAATATAATATTCTATCCTTCTATGATAAAACTTTACTATGTGACAAGAGCAAAATGCTCTGCGATTAGATTAGAAATCGGCAAACTTTCAAAGAAAATTCTCAAATTTTTTAATTCTACACTCGACACCATCGAACTTGTCACATGACACAACAGACCTCTGAGGTTCCTAACAGAAAAAGTCATAGAACCTTTCGTACATAATAATGTGGATAATCGTTTTTTAAGGTGCGACCCCAAAAATTTGAATCAAATTATAAGGAGGGAACCGGGTGGTGGAGGAGGATACCCTCAAACAATCTGACTATCTGCTGTTAGAGATGAATTCTGGCTATTCGATTCAAAAGTCCTTTGCAGCAATATAAAGATATTTAATAAAGATAGAAAAAAAAGACAAGTAAAAGCGGCATTCACTAGTCAGATTTCGCTACATCAAGCCATCTTTTAGACAAGACATGTGGTGTTGTTAGATTAAACACTGGTAAGTGTCAAAATTAAGATTAAGATTTAATTAATTATGCAGCTTTCAAATATGAACTTGCTCATACTAACGGAAGAATTTTTTATTTTTGGTTGCATCAAACATACTATCATCTCTTCATATAGGCTACTTGATAATATTCCAGAAAATACTTTTAAGAATAGAATTATGCAGATTTGCTCAAAAAAGTCTAATAGGGTTCATATCAACACGGAAGCAATGTCACCAATAGTTACAGAGTGAGCATTCCATCAAAAAAATACAATTGTATAAAAATTCCTTCTCCGTCCTTCATTAACTCACAGTACTTCTGGGAATCACATATGCACTGAATCAGTGGACACCAGGCATATTGTACGAAAAGAATTGGTACTGTTAACTTCAAACAATACCGACAAAATTGTTCATTCTCACTCAACAGAACTAATCGTATGACTTGACAGAAATGAAAGGATGGACTCAAACATATTCAACCTTTCAGATAAACCATGATATAATACAAAAATTATAATGAATCTTTACGTTGAGAGAAACCCAAAAGGGCTATTTACAGTCATTCGGTAGATGCCCTTTCATGTAAATATTATATTGTCATGTAAACACACATTGGGGCAGTCAAAAGTAGTGAAAATCAAAGGGGAAAATGAAAAACAAAAACAAAAACAACCCCAGTGCAATACGTCTGTGGAGTAAAGGTAAAGATATCATCCATAGATATTGTGCATACCCAAGCCCTGTTGTCATACAAGCACTAAATGCGTATAGAATAAGAATAAGAGGATATCAAGACATTTTCTTTTTTTTCTTTCTGAACAGCAATGTGCTAGTCATAGACAGTCTGTCTGGATTTTCTTGTTTTAATCACAGCCCATATTTTCGTTGAAAGCAAAGAATAAACAAGTCACCTCTTTCACCCTGTCAGCAAGTAAAAGGAAACCGATATATATATTCTTATTCAACACTTTCCACAAGAATTTCACAATTAATGAATCCTTGTTTGCAGGCTGGTTTGTTAAAAAAAAAAAAAGACACATAGATGTAGTAGTTACTAAGCAACCAGCCACCACTTCTGTTTTACAAAAGAAAAAGAAAACGATTGTGAGAACAAACTGCCACTGAGCACCACGACCTATTGAGACAAGCATTCATTCAGCACTCTATAGCTTTAGCAAACGTCCTTGAGATAACAGGCCTTATCTCTATGTTGGCTACTAATACAACAGCACTGTCAGAGTGACATTGTTTTCATAACATAAAGGAGACGGAGGAAAAGTAAAAGATAGCTATAACATATATATATATATCAAGAAAGACTATTAAGGACAAGAAGTGCAAGAGAAAGACAGAAACTACAAAGGGACAAGAAAAAAAGGATCTACTGATGTCACTCCAAAATTATCATTAGTTTGCCAGCTGTCTGGACTAACAATTTCTCTTTCTACATTGCAACAAATCAGACCAATCTGAATATAAGATAACCTGTTTCTGAGAAAATTTGCTCCAATTAAACTTCTCAAAATTCAAACCAAACAGATCACAAAAACCCTATAGCGTACAAGTATTTCAATTATTATATCCATAAATACTTCTTGAGGTTTCAAAAGAAAACACAAAAACAAAAAGCACAAAAAAATATAACCTCATTAGAAAAAAAAAATCTATCTATCTTAAAGAGTGCAAGCAGGCCTCACAAACATCACTAGAATGATCAACTAGCAATCAACATTGCAGTCACCATATATCTAAAGAAGCAAATTAACAGCTTGCGTACAATGTACTCATTACCATAAGCTGAAGTTTTAACCCTCTCCCATCCCTTGACGCAATAAGCACCACTTCCAAAGCAGAGCATTTTGTACTCTGATAGAACACCAGCAGGTTGAGAGAAAAATCTTGATGGAAGGACAAGAAATATTCAGACTCCTTCTCTAAGATTCAAATCTCAAGCTCGGCACATTGGTCAAGTCAGTAAGTTTTAGTAGAGGTTTTATGGCCCTCACAACTGCATAAGGTCATTTGAGCGCCAGAAGATTAGAGCTGTTACAAGAGAGCAACAAACATAAAAAAGAAGAAGGGGAGATAAGGACGATAGATGTTTGATAGGAAAGAAGAAGCAAACCACACCAGAGCACCCGCCAACCACCCACTAGGTCAAGTCAAACCAAAACTTCAAGTCACAGCAGCTAGAACACACAGGGAAAGGGAGAGCAAAATTGGCACTAGAGCATACTAGTTGAACATGTGAGCACACCCCTCAAGAATTTCTTTGATAAAAATATCTGAGTTGTAACTCCCAAGATGGGTACAGTTATCCAAGTTGTAACTCCCAAGATGGGTACAGTTATCCAAGTTGTAACTCCCAAGATGGGTACAGTTATCCGAGTTGTAACTCCCAAGATGGGTACAGTTATCCGAGTTGTAACTCCCAAGATTGGTACAGTTATCCAAGTTGTAACTTCCAAGATTGGTACAGTTATCCGAGTTGTAACTCCCAAGATTGGTACAGTTATCCAAGTTGTAACTCCCAAGATTGGTACAGTTATCCGAGTTGTAACTCCTAAGATTGGTACAGTCATCCGAGTTGTAACTCCCAAGATGGGTACAATTATCTGAGTTGTAACTCCCAAGATTGGTGCAGTTATCTGAGTTGTAATTCCAAGATTGGCACAGTACATTATTCAACCGAACATAAATTCCACAACAACAAAAAAGTACAGGACAAAGCTCTGGGATTTTAAAAAACTACACAAGCAAAGAAAAAACTCATTATTCAACCGAACATAAATTCCACAACAACAAAAAAGTACAGGACAAAGCTCTGGGATTTTAAAAAACTACACAAGCAAAGAAAAAACTCCTGAATCCAGCAAAAAGCTAAAAGCTGCAGAAAAGGAACATGTTAACAAGAAGAATACTAATCTCTCCAGCCACACAAGCCGAAGGACACGTTGCAAGAGCCAATCATAGAAATCATATATATACAAAAGTACGAAACTGAGAAAATAATCAAATATGTTACCTCTCCACAGAATATATATTCATTTTAATAACACAAAAATAATCAGTATCACAATGCTAAAGTATAGCACATCACATAAATATAAATTCTTACGGCATAACCAATTGAAAATCTTGTACTCCATGATCTGTGAGAAATTGGAAATCTCCTCAGGACAACCCAGAACCAGTAACCTCTTCAGCTTTCAACATTGAGAAATTGCACATAAAAATCATAGTTCTTTCTTCACATACATGATGTGAAGGCGATTTTCATCCCTCCTCAAAGCTGTCACAACTAAAACAGTTTTTATTATTTTTTAAGGGGGGCGGGGGGGGGGGTTCCCCCATCCCCTTATCAAAATAGAAAACAAAGATAAGCAAAATCTTCTACATGTGGGATTTTAAAATTGCAAAAATTATGATTTTCAAATACAAAACTTATTCCAGCCGACAAGAAAGGGGAAACTTAAAGAGAGCAGATTTTGCAAAGAGAAAAAAAAAGGAATTTTTTGATAATGTTCTTTAGAATCCAATACAGCCCATGAGAAAAGTACAGGACCACGAACACAGATAAAAGATTGAAAAAAAACAGAATGTTACGTCTGTTCAGCAAACATTGAGGTTGGTTAGTTATGGAACTGAAAAGTTGGTAAACTAGATATATATGCTTTTTTAAAGGTATTAGTTCTTGAACAAACCAAAACGCCATGGCCAACGAAGCAAAACTGAGTATGTGGAATGTCAAATAAAGAATGTTTAAATGTATTCGTAAGTTTTTTAATGATCCCAGTCTTCCCTCATCAGATACACACAGAGTTGTCAGAAACAATTACATATATCCAGCTTCAAACCCCACAATACTACAGCAAAAAGAAAAAAGAATGTACCAAATAAAAAAAACAACTGCTTTTAAACAAACCAAGAAACACAGAGGGGGAAAAAACAAAAACAAAAAACCCAGAACTTGTCACCTCTGTACAGATGAAATGTGGTTTACGCGACCTACGACCCACAACAGGATTTTGACTGAGAGTAATTTCATGTGGAGGGGGATGAAGAAAATGCAGTCCAAATGAGTTCAGGAGTAACTCCATAGCTCTAAAGAGTTACGAGTTACCGATCAATACAAAAGATCATTATAAATTCATTAAGCACAAATTTTGTGACAATACAAGAATGTGGTTCAAACAATAGAGCTTCCCATTGGACAGGCAAAGACTACTTTGCCCTATCACATGTGACAACCCCCCCCCCCCACCTCCTCTCAACGTGACCCCCAACATCCTTGAGACCATGCAGAGTTCAGTCAGAGTCATCAGAGAAATGGATGGCTAGGGCAGCTGTGAAAGAGAGACAATTTGGGAGATTGGAGGGAGCAACAGATGGTATGTCTTTCATATTATTTTCATTTTCTTCTTTTGTTTCTGAAAATCCTGATTTTGACCTTGCACTGAACGAAAAATCCATCAAAACAATTCCATCCTTTATGGGTCCAGTGAGGGGGGAACGTTGTTTTCTTTGTCTCAAGTTGTCCAACTATCACTTTTGTTTTTAAAAGTTTAACCCTTAAGATTCTGGTCCCTGATAAATGTCTGCCCGATAATCCCGCGCGGCGCTCCACAGCTGGTCCCTGATCAGTCGTCGTCCCGCGCGGGCAACGCATTTCGTTTACAGCAGGGTCTGCATCTGTGTGCTAAAATGTGTGTGCGTCAATCTGCTTGTGCCTGAGTGTCCATCTGAAACTTACTGCTTTGTTTTGCAACGCGAGGCGTTGGTAGAGATAACAGAGCGTCGGTTGAGACGTTCATCCAATGAAATATGAGCATTTTGACCCAGTTAGACACTTGAGGGACTCGAAAGGATATTCAGGAAATAGGACTTTCATCTTTCAATGCAAACACCTTTCCTCACTTTTCAAACGATCTAATTCTTACACCAAACGTTGTTTCCTGATGTAAATAATCATATTTGGTGGTTTTTGAACCATTGTCCTACCAGAGGGAGACATTTGAGAGCAACTGAATAAAAAAAATATTCGGAAATTATCCCATTTTTTCCCCCTTTCGAACGATAGCTGATAAGCAGCTGTTCGCAAGTTCATTCATAATAGGTGTGAAATCTGGAAAACTCTGGAAAAGTTATTCGATTTGGTGTAACTTCCAATCTCAGCGTCTCTGATCTACCGACGAGGGGATAATGGGATTATTCATGTGATCGTAACAATTATTCATTGATTGTATCAGTTTGCTTTAAAAGATGAGGTGTTTCCCTGACCTGCCGCGGCACGCTCGCGTGACCAGTGCCTGAACCCGGCGCCCCACGGCACAAGCCCGCAGGCGACGTAAGTGGGTCATCGATCAATAAGAGCCCTCTTCCGGTTAACCCCGCAGGACTAGAGTTAATGTTGTTAAATATAACATTAACTCAAGAAAAACATAAATTCAAAGAATAATTGAATAATGGCACCACAATCATTCTCCATTTCTTTACTGTTGCAAGAAAATGAATAGCTTTGTCTGACCTTGCTTTGCAGCCTGAGTAATACACACTCAGAGTTATTAAGTGTTCTTGCACTGGTTACTGACTTAATTAGAGTTAACTTTATTTCCGCCTTTCTTATGAGACCTGCTGTGTATAAAAATCTTGTTGAATCAACTGTTCAGAAGAAAAAACAACCCAAAGGCCCCCTAAAGATAAAAGAAATTTATGGTCTTCATCATTTCCTCAGAAAACAAATGGAAGATTAAATGGTCGCCTTTAAGCACAAAGAGGCTATCCCGCAAAATGCTGTTTTGAGAAAATCGAAGGTAAAGTTTGTGCCCCTTGTTCATTTTCTTTAAAAGGCAAGGAGAGTTTTCTCTTAAACCAAACAAATATACACACCAATGAAACCAAACTTCTCCTATAGGTAGGGCAGTGTCCACTTTTTGTGTAGGTCAAGATTTCTGGAAACCCCCCAAATCTGGGTTAGCCCTCTTGTCCTTAAAGGCGACCAAATACATGTATTGCCTTAACAAATGTGACCAATAAGGTTATGAGTGCGATCTGGCAGTTCGAAACAAAACATTAAATATTACCCAGATTTTCCTGGCACTGTGGTGACCCTGTCTCTTCCTACATACTAAAAAATCTGAAGATTACTGAGATGGCACGCTACTCACCAACAATAATGCCGATGATGATGATGACAATGACTGCCAAGATGATCCTCATCTGTGAAAACATGAAAGAGTATCAATACAAATACAGTCAAACCTGCCATGACGGCCATCTGTACAAACGGCCACTTTCCATTTCCCCCCTTGTGGTTTTTCTAAATAATCTAACTGTGTAAAATCGGCACCTGTCCAACGCGGCCACGGCCACCCTATTTTATCAACCTGTGACCAAATTTACCTGCCTGAGACGGCCAGGCTTTGCAAAAAATTATGCATTTGCCCCTGACGTTCTGGACAAGTCATCCTAATTAATTCACCTGTCATTATTGTCAATCCCTCCAATGGATGAAACGGTCATGCTGCTTAGGGCATTCCCAATGTTTACAGGCTTACCCAAGTTGACCAATGGGTAACAATAAATTTTCAGCTGCAAGGTAAGGAAAGTGTGTGATCCATCATGACCTATAAGCCCCGTCCACAATTCAGTCCATAACAATGGAAGTCAACACAAATTCACGACAGAAGTGTCTCCAGTTCGCCAAGTGGTGGCGACCCATTTGTTTGTTTAACTATGGCACTTGGCCTTCCTCGTCTGACAAATGTCGTTGTTTTTTGTTTTTTTTACCTTACACTGCACCATAATTTTACAAAATAAATAAATAAAACTAACAACAAAAGTCCCACAAAAAGCGTCCTATCCTCTCCCCCCTTTCAAAAGACCTCTTCCCCACCCAACCCCCAACATTTTAATGAGCCCTGCGCCTGCGACCACCTCCACTTGAGACCTCGTATGTAAATAGTTTGGGAATTTTTTTCGTTTTAGACCTGTCTATGAAAACCGTCTTACACAGCCATTTTTCTCCTCGACAATGCATGGCCATCTTACACAGGCTTGACTGTACTGAACTGACAAGAAGGGAAAAGAAGGAAGGTAATAGACAAGACTAGCAAGAACATGGCGCAACCCCCCCCCCCCCCAATTAACCCCATCAGACCGTATTCCTGGTACACGGGGAACACATGAACCAACATCCTTGACTCGAGCTCTGTACGCCCCATCAAAGATGCCAGGTACAGGGTAAAGTTAATGTCAGGCGGGCAAGTCTGACAGGATTAAAAGACAGCATACTATTTATGCCCCCCCCTCCACCATCCCACACACTAATTCACTACAGGTATATGTGTAATAGACATGACAGTTGAGGGTGAAAGATGAATACCCACCCTGCAATTTTTCCACCACATGTTTCTCTGTAGGCTTTTTGCTCTTGACCGGAACATGTCAGAGTTACTGGACAGGCTCTCTGTTTGCAATGAATAAAATGTTAGAGGGATTTAAAGACAATGTGAGGGGCTTATGCAAGAAATTCAGATTGGCAACCATAATAATAGTAAGAAGAAGAAGTTGATGTTTAGAGCAGCCACTCCCTAATTGCATTCTCAGTCATTCAAGCTCACGAAATTATTCACATTCATCATTACACACACGTTAACACACACGTTAACACACACACACCTACACTTGTATACACACACAGTAACATATACACATGGGTACGCACATGAACTGAATCACGAAAAGAGCATCTGAAAAAAAAGGGCAAGTGAAACAGAGCAAACAAAAATATCTTAAAAAAAAAAAAGAAACAACCTAAAAACACAGGGGAAAAAAAAAAAATCCCAACAACCTCAAAAAACACAAACTGTGTGTGGTCCTAACTCAGTCAACTGCACAGGGCACTGACCTGATTTATCTTGCAAGTCCTCCAGCCGATCTCCTCGCTCAATAACTTTGTTCACGTTGGACTTCATAATGTCCACTACATCGTCCACCTGGTTCTGTAACCTGCACACAAGAAACACTTCAGATTTAAGATCCATTTCCAACAGGATACTGCTCAAACAGACAGATATATACCTTGCTGGACACTTACTTCAGAAACCATTAATAAGAAAGATTACTGACACCAAACCATTCAATGATTTTTGAAAATTAAACAAAATTAAATGGTAAAGTTATAAAGCAAAACAATACACCTGCATGAGCAGGTACATTTCTTGATGCAGAGACTTTTTAACCTTCAATGAAAACTTCGTTTCAGAAATTTTGATAAAAGTCCACAAAGTACTAAGAAAACAAAGCTACTATTTACAACAATAACACTGTTTCAACTTACTGAGAAACTTTCCGGTCTGATCTTAGTTGGCCAGTATTCACCTTCGGGCCTCTGACGAATATATCAAATACATGAAATTAGGAAAATTACATATTTGTTTTAGTGATATTCTTATGCACCTAAAAAACAAATTTACACCCACTGCAATTAATAATTTTTAAAAATAATGGCACACTGCCAAATTTAAATCTCAAAAACAAAAAAAATTCAACTTAGAACGTAAGTTTCTTTCTGAAAAATTTGGATGTAAATAGCAGTATTTCAGATCCATATCAAAAGCAAATTTACAAAGATATGGATACTAGAAGATATCATTCAGATATGATTTAAAAGTACATAAAATCAAATATGGCAAACAGGATAATGGGCAAGTAAATGCTCAATGTATAAAAAAAACAATACCTGAGAAAAAAATCTTCATCATCATCAGAGTTGCCATCCAGTAGCCCCCTCTGCAGATGAACAACAGAGATTAGGTAAGGAAAGGTCCACTCCACTGTTCATAAAACTAGAAAAAACATTGTGGCCAATATAACAGGTCACATTAGTTGAAGAGGTTGCATAATCTGCATTCAAAACCATAAAAGTATGTTCCTAAAGAAAATATCAGCATTCACTGCGAAAAAATTTTTTAAAATGCATGGAATCTTTAACATACATGTCTTATTAAGAAACATGTGAAAGGTACATTTATATTCGAAAAGAAAATGATTGTTGAAAATACACCAAAACATCTAATGAGAACACAAATGACTGATAAAACTTTAAACTAAGACAATCTCTACTGTTCAGTTGTGATAATGAAGAGTATATTAGAGAGCTGGCTATCTACGAAAACATTCTTGGACGGTCATGACATTTAAATACACTATATATATATATATATATAAGTAATATTATATATAAAGTCCCGATGCAATTATTAGGCTATTTTACCCGCTCTGCTTCTTGGGACCGACCGAAGTCAGAATTATCAGGCATTCTTGCGAATTTGGGTGGCATGTTGACAAGTGTGTTTTGTAGCACCTATGAAAAAGAACCTGCAATCAGGAAGAGAAAAAAACATTGTTTATCTATTCATACTATTATTTGTCTCTGAAGAATAAGTATGCAGGATTGTTTTGCTACTCAATGTGTAATATAACGGCAGCAAAACTGACCTTTGTCCCAAAAGCCTTTTTATCAAGCAAGTGGCTATTCTCTAGCGTCACGCTGGTCAATAGATCGATTGCTATTCTCTGACGTCAAGTATAGTTGCACATGCTGCTTCTCCATAGCTTTTTATCTCTCCTGTCGGCACGTTATGGCCCTACACAAACCCTCATAAGGGTCGGAATTTCTTCAGAATGCGATCCACCATAGGTGGACACTCAGCCACTACTCAATGAAAGCTCCAATGATAGAAGAAGGAGGAATTTCTGTGTCAGATGGGAGAGCACCAGAAGCGCCAAAAACCCTCAGTCACAACCAGAAGTACAAGAAGGCGCCTCTGGCACTGAACTCAGCGGCAACACTAATGGATAACATGCTGACAGGGGAGATGGAAAGCAGTGGAGAATAGACATACGGGACACCTGAAAATAGCCATCGAACTACTGACCAGCGCGATGCCGGAGAATAGTCACCTGCTTTTTTATCAATCTCCATAGTCTTGTCAGAAAATATTACTCATTCACTGCTCTCATTCGTTATGCTAATACATAGCACAATCAATGAATCACACAGTTCTAAGTCCGGTAGACAGGGTTGGTGATTTTTTTTTTTTTTAAAATAAAAATTTAAAAAATCGATTTTTTAAATTTAAATCAGATTTTTTAAATTTAAATGGGATTTTTTATATTTTTTTAAAAATGTCGACACAGTTTGGGATTTTTGGTGGCTAAAAGTATGTTCTTTTAGTGCAAAATGCATT